GGGGGATGGGCTAAACGGGTAGGGGGCATTAAGGAATCTACTCCTGAAATCATTGTTGCACTATATGCTAACTAATTTGGATGTAAATTTAAAAAATTAAATAAAAAAAAAAAAAGACACCCGGGGGCCCCTGGCTTTCTTAGTCAGTTGAAAAACAAACAAACAACAACAACAAAATATCCAAAGATAATAGCACTTTGACAGATGACAACCAAAGGGAATGGCCTTCTAACTGTGGGTTTTAGTCGTTAGCATTTCGATGAATTGGAAGTCTTCCTTTGCTTTGGAAAGTCCTGATCTGACCATAAAGACAGTCTCTATCTGCATCATTTCTAAATTCAAATGGTGCATGAGAGGTGTGCATTGGGGAATCCATCAGGAAAGACCTGCCCTCTTCAAAGTCAAAGACACACCGCAGGGAAATCAGATCCAGAGGGCTGTGTGATCTGGGGCTCAGCCCCTTGCACTGTGCTTGGTGCCCCCAGCTTCTCCCTCTATCAGTGGCCCTGAAGCATTTGTTTTGTGGCCAGAACTTCATGAGCAATTCTAGTCTGTTCTGCTGAAGGCTGAGTCACCAAGGTTTAGATGGAATGTCACACCTCAGGGCAAGGCCTAAGCCTCTGCTGCTCTGACACTGACATACTGAAATCTTTTTTAAAAACAGTCAGACCCCAGCAAAATGACGACACAGGCAGAGTGTACATGCGTGTATGGGGGGGAGGGGCTTATTCACAATCTTACCTTGCTTCTCCAGGCTTCCCTCCTTATTCCTGACCATCTCTGTCTTCTATCTCCCATGGGGATGTATCCTCAATCATGTTCCCTGAGGAGTCTCTTGGTTAGCTATGATTAGCTTAAAATATTAAGTAATAAAATGATCGGTTAATATCTCAAGTTTTAATTATATAGTATCTATAAAGGTAGAATTAGAAGAGCCTTGTTTTTTAGAAGAGACTTTTAAACTTCTCAAATTCAACCCTCGTCCTAATCTTACAAATGGGTAATTCCAAGGTCAAAAAAGGCTAAGTGGCTTGTCCAGAGCCGTACAACTACTTATTAGGAAGTTATGTCTAGAACCCAGAACTCCAAGCTGGCTGATGGCTCTTGCCACTTCATTAGCCTGCCCACCAGCTGACACTTCCATCCCCCGACCCCCACAGCACACCCTCACCCTCAGGCATTTCTTCCCTCCTCGGGTGTTATCTTCTAGCCAGAGGGTCCTTGTGAGCCCCAAACCCATGCCCCCTCCCACCTCACACCCTGGTCGCTTCCCTAGTATGACATTTTTGCCAAGGCCAAAAGACTACAGACATCACTGATCCCACGTGAGAAACAACTCTGTGGACTGTTGAGCTCTCCACACAAAGTAAGACGTGATGCTCTTGGCTAACTCAGTGAAACAGGCAGTATTTAAAGATTACACCCGGCTATCCCACATCATCTTTTTCTCGGGTGGCTATAACTCTTACTGTCTTAATATAACCACAGGGGCTTAAGTATTGCTATCCTGCAAATAAAAAAGATTTGTGAGAAAAGCATTTGCTTTGAAAGTGGATGCTATAAAGGGTGCCTCTATCAGATTATTACAAGAAAAATATAGGGTTGAGGGGCTGCCTGCGTGGCTCAGTTGATTAAGCATCTGACTCTTCGTTTCGGCCCAGATCATGACCTCACGGTTCCCGGGATCGAGCCCCATGTTGGGCTCTGCACTGACAGCGCAGAGCCTGCTTGGGATTCTCTGTCTCCTCTCTCTCTGCCCCTCCTCCACTCACTTGCGTGCTCTCTCTCTCTCTCTCGCTCTCTCTCTCAAAATAAATAAATATTTTTAAAAATGTAAAAGAAAAACATACAGTTCAAAGACAGGAACTTTCATCTTTGGCAACCCCAGCTTTCCCAGTGGGATATTCTTCATTGGTCTAATCTCCGGCTCTCGCTCAAAACAGTGAAACACAGAACTTAGGGACCAGCTAGGAGGCCAACGGTTCGTCAGCGCCAGCCCGTGTGAAAATACAGACATGCGGGCCCCACCCCACAAGTATCGTTAAGTGGTGGAGACTCCAGAATCTGTATTTTTTTTTTTTTTAATTTTTTTTTTCAACATTTATTTATTTTTGGGACAGAGAGAGACAGAGCATGAACAGGGGAGGGGCAGAGAGAGAGGGAGACACAGAATCGGAAACAGGCTCCAGGCTCTGAGCCATCAGCCCAGAGCCTGACGCGGGGCTCGAACTCCCGGACCGCGAGATCGTGACCTGGCTGAAGTCAGACGCTTAACCGACTGCGCCACCCAGGCGCCCCCGGAATCTGTATTTTTGAAAAGCTCCTCAGGTGATTCTCTGGAGCACTCACGTTGGGAAGTCCCCGAGGGAGGCCGACACCTCCTTTGACCCGCCAGAAGGTGGGGTCATCAGCGATGCAGTCAAAAACCACTGACTCTCAAATACGCAATTCTTTCTCGTTACAGCTGGTTTGCAGGTAACATCTCCAGGTCACAGTCTGAGCAGTTACTGAGACAAAAGGTAAACAGTCGAGTTTTTACAGTAGCCTCTAAGACTCTCTCCCGCTGGGCCCGGGGGGGGGGGG